TAGATAGATAGATAGATAGATAGATAGATAGATAGATAGATAGATAGATAGATAGATGTTGGATGGATAGGTAGGTAGGTAGGTAGATACAGGGATGGGATTCTACTGGTTCGGACCAATTTGGGCGAACTTCTTGCTCCAAAGATCAGTTGGCAGCGAACTGGTTCACTGTGATCCCTGCTCTTTCCTGTGCTTTATTTCCTTTTTAAAGAGCATAGCTGGTTCACGTGGTAGAGTGGTTTGTTGTGCCTCAGCTGTTTTATTCAAAAGGGGCTGCAGTAAAAGGTAACTATTAGAGATTTTTAAAACACGGAGTACACGCAGGGCGTGCATGCGCATGCAAAGCATGCAATCCCTGAACCGGTTGTTATACAGGTGGAATCCCACACCTAGATGGATGGATGGATGGATGGATGGATGGATGGATAGATAGATAGATAGATAGATAGATAGATAGATAGATAGATAGATAGATAGATAGATAGATGATATTGTGTGTGTGTGTTAAATTCAATTTGACCCAGAAATTATGGCTTCAGCTATGTACATGAATAGATTATGTACCTACATATAGTATGTAGTATGTAATAGAGAAGTAAAATACTTACCCCTCAATTTCTAGGGAAGATTTTGACTTTCCACCCAAAGGAAAATCTAGGAAAAATAAATAGCTGCAAATGAAATCTTGCTGTTTTCAATATCTTCCTTTCCATAAATTCCACAGCTAAGTTTATGGGCTGTACCTCTGATTAATGCATACAGATATTCCTCAACCTATGAGCACAATAAGTCCAGAATGCTGGCTGTTAATCATTGTTGCTTCTAAATGGGCCATCACATATTTTGATTCAATTGCACTAGTATTTTTATGATGGTCATAAACTGACCATAAATATAAACAATGGTTGTTAAGTGAATCCAGCAGAATCCAAAGGACATCATTTGCTGTTTTCTACCAATAGATGTGAAAAAGGTCACAAATTGTAGTCATGTGATCACAGGACACTTCAATCTGTTGTAAATGTGAGCTGGTTTTAAGGCACCTAAAATGCGAGCATGATTGCAGGATGTGTGTGTGGTAGTCAAAATTTCGAGGATGGGTCATAAATAGCTTGAAGTCATTTTGAAGTCATTCATTACTTTGAATGATTGTCAACTCATAAAACATTCCTATGCCTGTTTTTAAAAAGTGGGGGGGGGGGAATCTGGAAGAGCAGTTGAAAGCGAAAGTACATTCCAAATCTTTATTTATTTATGTATTTAATTTATTTATTTGATTTGTCAATCACTTACAAGATAACAGGTATAAATATAAACATAGTTATGAATACAGGAGATGGATATATATAAGAAAAATAAAAAGAAACAATAGGACAGGGACGGTAGGCATGATTGGTATGCTTATGCACACCCCCTACAAACCTCTTAGGAAAGGGGTGAGGTCAATAGTCTAAGGTTAAAGTTTTTGGGGTTTGGGAAAGAAACCACAGAGTCAGGTAGACTATTCCAAACATTGACCACTCTGTTGCTGAAGTCGTATTTCCTGCAATCAAGTTTGGTGCGGTTAACATTGAGTTTGTATCTATTGTGTGCTCTTGTAGTATTATGGTTGAAGCTGAAGTATTCATTGACAGGTAGGACATTGCAATGTATGATTTTATATACTATACTTAGATCAGACCAAAGGTGGCATAGTTGTAGGTTTTCTAGGTCTAGAATTTAGAGTCTGTTGGCATAAGGTATTCTGCAACAAGTATAGGAGTGGAGAACTCTTCTTGTGAAATATTTCTGGACTTTCTCAACTGTGTTAATATCAGATACGTAATGTGGGTTCCAGACTGATGAGCTGTATTCGAGTATTGGTCTAGAAAATGTTTTATATGCTCTAGTTAGTAGTGTAATATTACCAGAGAATTATCTTTAAAATTATTTTTAAAAGATTGTAACTAAAATACCTGAGTTTTGCCCGTGAATATATTTATTTGGAGAACATGAATGTGCTCAATTGGAGAATATGGTTTATGAGACATCCAGGGTGGAGGGGGGGAAAAACAGGGTCACATGTGACTGTAAATTACATATGCCAGAGTTGGCTTGCTGTCGGGATTCCCGCAATCACTCTAATTAAATTGTAATTTTGGAGCCAACCTTAAAAAAACTTCAAAGGATTCATTAGAGGCAACAATGATCATGAAATGACTGGTCAATAAGCTAGGACTACCTGTAATGTAATTAAGAAATCTAGCACAACTTTGAAAAAATAACGATAATTAAAAAAAAGCCCACACACCATCGTCCTGCACTGAAGCCCAAAGATACTGGCATAGAATTAAAAAAAAATGGTTAGAGGAAATAATGGTGGAACAAATTGAATTAAAACCAGAATTCTTCTTATTGGGGATATTTAATAGATAATTTTCTAAAAAAACAAAATATATAATACTGCACATTCTTACTGCAGCCAGAATAACCTTTGCACAGTGTTGGAAACAAGCAGATATTTCAACAGAGGAAATGGTCATTCGGAAAATAACAGCCTGTGCAGAGATGGATAAATTAACCTTAGCACTTAAGGAAAAAGAAACATCAGAATATTATAGAAGCTGGGAATGCTGGTATGACTGGGTAGAAAAAAAATAGAAAATATATTAGTAAATAGTGTAAAATGTAAGAGGTAGTAATTATATATTCGCAATAAGATGTATTTGTAAATATGTCACCAATATTGAAAACAAATAAGGAACCATAGACTGTTGATTATAGAATTGCTACCCTGTTTCTCCAACAATATGGCCTCCCCCAATAGGAAGTCCCAGCATGTTTTATAGGCATGAAATGAAATTAAGCCCCTCCCCCCAAATTAAGGCCTATATTAAAACATGCGAAATGGGGGGAATGGTGGGGGGGCTTGCCGTTAGGAAGTACTTTTGTTGCACACCCGGATATGGTGCTGTCTGCGTTGACCCCGATACAAAGTGCCCCACCAACGCCGAGGTCAACATCCAAGCCGTCGCCACCTGCCCGCCTGAAGATGCAAGGGGGGGAATTAAGTCACCCCCAAAAAGACGGCCTAGCCATTTTTGTCGGGGCTCAAAAAAAAAAAAAAAAAAAAAAGACCCGGCCTTATTATATGAGAAACACGGTAGTTTTTAATCTTTTTCTTTTCCTTCTTTTTTCTGTGTGTTGTGTATGTGTTTGTTTGACATTTTAGTTGTATAATCAATAAAGTTTGTTAAAAAACAACAACCCACACACTTCACATTTGAATAACAGTCCTGAGCTGCTTAAGGAAATCCTTTCCTCCTCCTCCTCCTCCTCCTCCTCCTCCCCCTCTTCCTCCTCCTCCTCCCCCCCCTCCTCCTCCTCCTCCTCCCTTCTTAAAATGAGTTTAGATCCCAAAGTCATTCCAAGAAGCACTAAGGAGAGAGACAAATAAATAAGGCTTCTTCCCACAGCTTGGAGAGCAGGTTTTTTAGAGTTAGTGATGGGGGTGGGAGTGGGCAGTGAAATGAAAGAGAACCCTTAGCTAACATGTGTTCAACAGAAATAAGTTAAATCTGCCTTACAAATTATTCCATTTTTAATTTGAAAGGGTGCTGGATCTTAAAGCTGTCAATGTAGGAAATGGAATAATTGAATTTCTAATTATCTGCCCATCCTTATTTAGTCATGATGTGTAGAACATACCAACTGACTCTACCTGTAGTTCTATATTTGTTAATCTGAAAACAAAATTTTAGTGCTACCAGTACATATTGCATTACTTTTACCTTTAAATGTTATATCCTTTATGGGGGCTTTCCTTCCTGCCCCAATAAAATAACTAAGGATTGTATAGAGCAGTGGGAGTTGAAAACCACCCATCTTAAAATTGTCAAGGTTGAGAAACACTGGTATAAAGTGTGAAAATGATATTCCAGTTCTGAACCAGCTGTTATAACTATAGGGTATATGTTATGTTAACAACACAGAATCCATGCA